CTACTAATCCCCATTTCTAACAATCCATTATTGTTATTTATAAAATTAATTTTATAAACAAATGCAGTTGTACGAGCAAGCAACGTACGTCAATAGTGGCGGAAAATTTGCTTAATTCATACGTTAATTAGTCATTCAAACTAGTTCGTTAACGGTTACCAAGGACTTGTTGTATGTTCATTAATTATCATGACATTTTGGCAATAGTTTTATATAAGTTAGTGTCTATCTCAAAACATCACCAAAGCCTAACTGCAGTTGCCTATCTGTATGCTAAGCGTGGCAACTACTGGCAACAGCTCCTCGCTATAGGAGAGGTATATGTTTAGTAGTGGCTAATTATTATAAAAAGACGGGTTTTTTCAAGTAGTACCAGAGGGAGACTTTGTACAAAAGTCGATTGCTTGGGTACCTCTGTCCCATTCGTGTTTCAACCGTGAAGCAGTAGTGTTTGCATGGCTGTGTTTCGGTTTGAAGGGTGGGATATGGCGTGAATTTACTGGGTACAGAGGAATAACACCTGAGACCTCAGGAATGGCAACGAATGGGGGGTATCATGGGCGAAACTGTATACTCTGTTATGTCTATGGTACTGCTCATGTCTATAGGCGACGGTTACCACTTTCCATCAGGTGGGCCGTCAGCTTGTTTGCCATTCTATGTTGTATAAAAATGAAAAAAAAAATGTGTCACTGCGACTTTTCCATGATATTTTGTGCTCGCCCTTTTTTAAAGATCGCTACTAATTTCTATCAATGATAGGGATTTTAAGATGTTTTTTGTAGCAACGTTTTTTATCTCCTCAGGATATAGAGTGTGTTTTGCTAAAGATATTATATCGTTTATGTATGAGTGGGCTACAGTTATACATTAAGTACTGCAACGTTTCTTCTTCATTGTGATAAAATCTGCAAACACTTTTTGGGCGTAAGCCTAGTTGGACCATTTGCTTGTTTAGTTTGTAGTGTCCAGTGAGAGCCCTTGTTAATACACACATTATTTTTCTCAAAATAATTAATTTCTTAGAGTAACTTTCTGAAGATTTGTAATTTTTTAAGTACTGTTCATGTCTATAGGCGACGGTTACCACTTTCCATCAGGTGGGCCGTCTAGCTTGTTTGCCATTCTAAGTTGTATAAAAAAAAAGTTCATAAATACATATACATACAAATTCATACATATACGAAAATAAATGATAAAAATAAAAAGAATAAAACGTCCTTCAAAAACAAGTTCATGCTCACTTTTTTACTTTATCTAAGCAGTAAGTACTTTATATTATTCTCGATTTCGTGTATAATATAGTATATGTCATATATGTGTAAGTATATTTGTTACTTATATATATTTATTCGTTAATATATGTAATTTTAGTATGTATGTATATCAATAATTACTAGTACCGCATTCGAGTATTCTGATACTTTGATATGGTTGACTGGGAGAGAATGCTTTTAGCATTAAGTCCGCCATGTACACATATTTGTACTAATGAATAAACAATTAATAAACAAAAGACTGCCAATCAGACACAAATTACAAATATGACAACTTTCTGGGATAGAAGTCCTTAACTTGTATTTTAAAACTCTGTAGATAATATAATTTCTTTTTTTTTCTCCTTATATTATTTATAATTCAGTTGAAGTTCAATACGAAATACAACAAAATATCAGTCCATTCTCTGTGTGCAGGGGAAAGGTAACAAAGGATATAAAAGAGACAATACGTAGAGTCCAGATTGCGAACCGGATCACGTATCGTATCCGATTTCATTACCGGAGCTAACGAACTGAAATACTAGAACAAACTGTGATTGATTTTACAAATTCAACCCGTACTGTAAATATTGTGTCCTGTGCATTTGAATAAAAATGTTTTAACTAGTGACCCGCCCGGTTTTGCACAGGTTAATAATGGTAATTTATTTTTTATAAAATATACGTCACATCAATCTTTAACTGTCCACTGCTGAACGTAAGTTTTCTCCTTGGAGGGTTTTGCTAGTAGTTGCCACGCTTGGCAGGCGGATTGGGAACTGCAGTTGGGCTATGGAGATGTTTTAAGAAGGACGCTGCTGCCCATCTCTCGCCTTTCCTTAGTCGCCTCTCACGACACCCACGGGAAAGGAAAGGATAGCCTATTTTATGCCAGAATTGCACAGCGGACACACTCGGCCATAGTCTATATTACTCGTTAATAGTATAGCTTCATATATGTGAAAGAATTATTAAAATAGGTTTATTCATTACAAATAAAAAATCAAATAATCAATTTACTTTTTTAATAATTATTCTTCTTAAGACGCCATCTCCTAGATGGCGCCATAATCGGATATTGGCGATCTCCATAGCGATCTTTGTTTTGTCTACCGCCATTCTGAAAAAGTATTTGGTGCTCATTCCGAAGGCAGTGAGCTTTAGATTTTTTTAACCAGGAGGTTGAAAGTCGTCCCGGTCTTCGCAACCACAACTACGGATCTCTTCCCTGTATTTATAAGCTGCAGAAGTCTGTGGTACAAAGGGTACAGTATATGTATTATGCCTGCTATTTTACAGAAATATGCGACTAAACCCATACAGGGGTTAAAATTTGTTATTAAGAATTATAATAACGAAACTACACACAAAATATTTATGTATAAATAAAGAATATAAAATAAAAAAAGTAAAAAAAAAAAAACAATTCGTGTTATAACAGTTTCATCCAAAATGAGTGTGTGTGTGTGTGTGCATCGCAATACCTGCAAAATGAGATGCGTGCTCAGCATTTTGCTGTAGTGTCACACATACACTACAGCGCTGATGTTCAGCACGAGCCTTGGCAACCCGTGGAGTCCTAATAATCTATCTCAGTCACGCAGACAAAGTCCAGGGTAATTAATACAAATTATTAATTTTTACCTGCGACTTCATCCGCGAGGTAGTTTATTTATTTATAAATTAACACATGTTTTGCGTGAACAAAATAGCTGTTGGAGATTGATAGCTAATATAGAAAGTTGTGGAACTTCTGATAGTAATAGTAATGGTCAATCTTTGAATGTTGGCAGTTACATACATATTAATTGTAGCGGAATTAAACAAAATAATTCCAAATAATCAGGAACACAAAAGATTTTTGTATGTTCTACTTATGTATTTCTATCTATATATAATTTTTTTTATGCAACTTAGAATGACAAACAAGCTGACGGCCCACCTGATGGAAATATACCTATAGTAACCGTCATCTATAGACATGAACAGCACCATAGATATAACAGAGTATACTCTTTCGCCCATGATACCCCCCATGTGTTGCCATTTCTGAGGATTAAGGTGTTATGTTTCTGTACCTTGTAAATTCACTGCCATAACCCATCCTTCAAACCAAAATACAGCCACGCAAACACATGTAAGTAGAAATACGTAACAAAACAAAACCTAGGTATCCCAGAATCACATCCGCCATTCTATTCTGTTAAGTCACTTTATGAATACATTTTAGTGGACAAAAGCCGGCCCTGTCTATTTTCAGAAGTAACAAATAAATCCCAGTGACGCCACAATCCCGCAATAGTGAATCCCTGAATCCCGTGTCCCGCTAATTGAATAAATGGCGACCGTGATCCTAGTATGGCGGATGCGGTCTTGTCTATTTGCTACCTGGCTTTGTTGGAAATACCTTGTGTTGTGGCGGGAATTTCAATATTTCCTTATTCCGAATTTCCTTATTGGAAACTTTTTGTTCAGAAATAGAAAAAAAATGGTGATATTATCCTATTAATATTATATTGATAAATGTGATTCGTAATTAAGTGTGCATTACTATTGAAACACGATTATAACTGGAGATAATTAAATTCAATTAGATTTACATAGTAAGACTATGTAAATAATAATATGTAGGTATTGAAATGCGGAATATTTTTATTCTATTGAAATATGACCGTTCTAAAAGAGCGACTTGTAAAGGGAGATTTAAAATTTTTTATTTTGTGTATATTATTATTTTATTTCTGTCTTTATTCCGATTATTTGGGGTCGGCGTAATATGGCATCACCATCACCATATCAGCCTTTAACTGTCCACTGCTGAACATAAGCCTCCCCCTAAGAAGGTTTTGCCAGTAGTAACTCAATATGTCTGACATTATACATATATGTATACATCTTTAAAAATTTAATATAAGTTTAAAAAACAAGAGTGTGCGTTCTCTGTGGAATTGACAACCACGATTCCGAAGTAGTTAGAAATTACATCTTTAACTAGAGCATTAACTAGGAGATGAAAGTTAGTACAGAAGTTATACAGCTGAGATATCTCATCGGAACATTCAGTTGGTAAATAATTAAAATATAATTTTATATTATTTTGATATAGTAGTTTATATTTTCTCTATTATCCACTTGTATATATATATGTGTTATGTATTGTTGTATATGTTTTATGTATTGTTAAATAATGCATGTACTTTTGTTGTAATGTTTAAATTTGCCGCCTTCTATTTTGTTCTGACGTTTAACATAGATTGATAGTTGTTCAAGACTTTTGACATATTCTACTTAATCTGTGTTGTTCTCTTTTCAAATAAAATGTTCTCCTGCGGTTTCTGATTTGAACTTGTTATAAATTAATAAAATAGTTTAAATAAAACAACAACTTTATTTATAATTGTTTCATATATTGTACGCTTATATAGCAGGACATATAGTACTACTATTTAACTGATACCTAAGTACTATAATCATAGAATATATTATGGAAAGTAGTCAGATGACGTTAATCGATAAAGATCGAGGAAAAAGGCTTTTATTCGTCGTTTGTTACTTTTTTTATACTACAAAGGTGGAAAACAATCATACAGTATTCACTTTCAGATTTATAATATTAGTAAGGGTTAACAGAGAGAGAGAGAGAGTGAAAGAAGGGGGAGGAAGAGAGAGAGAAGGGAGAGGAAGAGAGAGAAAGGGGAGAGAGGGAGAAGACAAATAAACCAGGTAGGTTAAAACAACGTATTTGCTGGTCATCCATTAGTTTATAGTATATTAATAAAATTTAAACATTTTCTATTTATATTTGACTGAAGAAATATAGTATGCGTTTTCCATTTTAATCATCATCATCTTCATAGCGATGCTTGTGCCGGGAAGCTGCTGTCCTATCTGCAATTAAAATTTAATTAGTTTCAAACGTCAACCCTTTGTAAATTGTCTCTTTTAATTAATTATTTCTCTTCATAATTGATGGTGACAAACAAACAGCTCTTAAAATAGATTCCCGTGCATCGAGTCGCGAAATATTTTATTATATAAACAATGAAAGCGATATTTTACATTTCAACTTTTTAATTGATTTTGAACTTTCGCGTTGTTGACACATATTATACATAGATGTCTCCGTAGGTACAGCTCGCCATCGACAGGGAATTCACCCCTATACCTGAGAACCAAGATGGTCGCGTACAATACGGTTTCAGAGATGTTTTCTTTCACGAACACTCAGGTTTTGGAATAAGATCCCAGTCGACGTTTTTCCAAGAGACTACAGTATGGAATTCTTCAAAAGGGGGCTAAAAAGGTTTTTAAGGGTAGGCAACGTGCGCGTAAATCCCTTGGTATTGCCGGCGTTTATAGGCTATGGTTACTGTTTACTATCAGGTGGGGCGTATGCTTCTTTGTTGCCTCAGTGGTATAAAAAAATATAAAATATCTTTGTTATTAAAAACTAAAGAACACTTACATGCGGTAAACAAAATTGTCTTTGTCATAATTTGTCATAATGCCATATTTATTACTTCTAGTTTTATCTATAAATCCTTCATTATTATTTAAATTTACATAATCATCATCATTGTAATTATGATCATCGATCAAAATATCATCATTTAAAACATAAACAATGTTTTTATTAAAATTATCACTTCTCATTGCTTGGAGTTTCTTAATTAGTTCCTTAGTAACTTTATCAATAGAGTTATCATGTTTCGTCTTCTTGTAAGGCCTCTGAAGTTTTGATAGTTGAGTTTCTTTGTCTTTGTCATTATGTATGTATCTATCGTTCATATATATTTGATCATTGCCTGTATTTTCTCTAATTTCGTATATTTCAATTTTTGGTTTACTGGATTCCGATAGTGCAATACCTGAAGCAATGTATATAAGCAAATATTAATATTTTTTTATAAATATCAGTAAAATGTTAAGTATCATTTATTATACAAATTGTCGAGTTACATTTATGTATCTTCATGTTTTGTCCTTTATGAGGTAGACAGAGAGAAATGAATATTAGCAGTCTCAATCTATGTTAATAAAAATCGTAGAATAAAAATGCTATGAGCGTATGCATTATGAAATATCAACCAGAGGGAGACTTTGCACAAAAGTCGTTTGCTTGGGCACCTCTGTCCTATTCGTATTTCAACCGTAAAGCAGTTGTGTTTGCATGGTTGTGTTTCGGTTCGAAGGGTGAGATATGGCAGTGAATTTACAGGGTACAGAGCAATAACACCTGAGTCCTCAGGAATGGCAACACATGGAGGGTATCATGGGCGAAACAGTATACTCTGTCATGTTCATGGTACTGCTCATGTCTATAGGTGACAGTTAAAAAGTACACACACACACACACACACACACACACACACACACACACACTCTTCGTCCATTTAATTACTGAAGGTCGTGTCCTTGAAAGGTGTCTGTTGCCTACACACTATAACTACTAGAAGCCAGTTTAAAATTATTCTTCACACAACGAGAGAAAGAACGTAACACTTTAACTTACACAAAAGAAATATAATTAGAGATTTCATGCTCCCGCGCGTTTCTAACAAACAAGTTTTAAGGGGAAACATTAAAAAAGTATAAGATTGAATTTCATTCGGTTTATCGTCATTTTACGAGTTCAGACCGACATTTATCTGGCGTATAGAAAATTGCTAAATCATAAATTGGAAATTCCATTTAGTTTATGGGGTTTCGACTTTTCTTATATTTTCCTGATGGGGTGGGCACGGCTTTTGCGACCGGCGAATACGAAGTTTACCATGTTTCACTGCGTTTTATTACTCTTCTTATTAACGTCGTGCCCGCGACTTTGTTCGCGTGACCGGCTTATATTAATTGGCCGGGATAAAAGTTGCTACGTATTGTGTAGCTTGAAATGGCTAAGAATCTGTTGGCCTACTTGAGGGAAAATGGTAGCCATCGCCTATAAAGATAAATAGCACCACAGATATCAAGAATATATTGTGAAGCCCATTTTACGATTCATACGTCGTCATTTACGATGAGCAAGCATGACATGTCTTCATACTTACATAAGAATGTAAGTGTCTGGTAAGAACCAGAGGGATACTTTGTACAAAAGTCGATTGCTTGGGTACCTCTGTCCCATTCGTGTTTCTACCGTGAAGCAGTTGTGTTTGCATGGTTGTGTTTCGGTTTGAAGGATGGGATATGGCGTGAATTTACAGGGTACAGAGGAATAACACCTGAGTCCTCAGGAATGGCAACGCATGGGGGGTATCATGGGTGAAACAGTATACTCTGTTATGTCCATGGTACTGCTCGTGTCTATAGGCGACGGTTACCACTTTCCATCAGGTGGGCCGTTAGCTTGTTTGCCATTCTAAGTTGTATAAAAAAAAATAACTCTGTAATTTTATTGCCATAGAGTATACAGTACAGTTCTTTGGCAACTGAAAAATTATATTGTTTTTAATCTCTGTTAAATCCTACTACCTCTACTACTACCTTAACTACTCTTTAGTACTATCTTTCAATGTTCTCTCTTCATTTTCCTGCGTCATTTTCTTCTATTGTATGTGCGTTATTAAGTATGTGTATGTTTATGTGTATATTTGGTTGTGTATATATAATATATGTATGTGCATATGTGTGCATGTATGTGTATATATATGTATATGTATGTATATGATAATATTTATATAATAGTGCGTTACCTACCCTTTATCTTTTTCTCAATGTCCTCTACCAAAAGGTTGTCTGGACGAGATTGCTTAGCGATAAGGCCGCCTTTTGTATCACTTCTCATTAATATTTACTTTATATGTTATTATTTTTACTTGGTGCAATAAAGTGTAAAATAAATAAATTATTTTAAAAATGCCAGCGAGCTGCAGCGCGTAGTGCGTTCCTTATGGCGGTCTATGGAGGAGGCCTATATTCGGCAGTAGACAGATAATGGCTGAGATGATGATCATCATCATCTCAGCTATTATCTATCCATTGATGATGATGATGATGATAACATAGTTAAAAGTTTACTTATACCTCGTGTGTTACTATTCTTGAGAAGTCAGGTATAATATTGTCGTACTAAGGTATTTCTTCTCCATATCTCTTCAAACCGAAATAGCATTACAAGTACAGTTGCATGGCAGTAGACATGCAATTTACTTACCTGCCTTTAAAATAGAATTGTTTGACTTGAACATCGCTGTCTCAAAGGACAATATTTACTATATTCTCATGGTAGCTGTGTGCACTACAATACTTTTATCCTTCACATATTTTGAAAATTCCGTTTAGTATTATTTTATTTTTCTCAGCGCGGTGACATCACATGGTGTTTCTACAAAATGTGTCTCATAAATATGTAATAGTAAATATATGCATCTATAAAGCATCTGATACCTTCAAGAAAAGAGAATATTCCATCATTGAGTTATAATAGATGAGGATCAAAAGGCAGGCCAGTTAGCCCATCATGATTAATTTGCTTGGAACCGTCAGGTCGACCTGCCAGGGTATATTGGTGACAATGGGACTGGTAGTTCGCGTTACTAAAAGTTCCTACCCAGTTTGTTTTTGGTTGTATTTTTTTATGCAATTTAAAATGACAAACAAGCTGACGACTCACCTTATGGAAAGTGGTAAAATGTAGTGTAAAGTGATGTCCCACTAGAAAGAACGATGACCTCAAATGTATTGTAGGGAGTCAGTGGATGCAGGTGGCATGGGAATGTTTTTTATGGCTTCAGCAGGGAGAATTTAATGGCTAAAATGATGACGAAGATGATGATTTAGTTAGCTCTAAATATATGCTCATTGTTAACGCTAGTCACTTCTTATAATCCGACAAGAAGCATACACGTTTACCTCTTTGTTAAAAAAAGAAATTTATGACGAATCTATTGCTTAATATTCTTAAAAAAAATCTCCAAAAAAATCGAATCACAATTCATGTGATTCTATTTCGTAATATTGTAGAAAGAAAAAGAAAATGGTTACTAAAAGATGGAGTTTAAATCGAATAATAGGATTTACGTTTTCTAGGAAAACTAACTAATAAAACTCATCACTATTCAAGTAGAACAAAAGGCTTCTGTCTTACAATATTCACGCTAGTGTCAATAGCGTGTCACAATCCTTACTAGTATAATATTATAAATATGAAAATGAGTTAATTTCTTATTTTATAGGGTCCTAAAAACTTAAAAGACTATATAATTCATGATACTTATTTTAATTATAATGATATTTATATATATGGTGATGAGATATATATAAATTGATAATTTTGTTTAACAAAAAAGAACTATCGGCTTTATTCGTGGAAAATCAGTTCTTTTCATTTAAAATCTATAATTACAGGATTATGATAAAATCCTTTAAAAGGATTATAATAAAAATTTTATAAGACTAATCTGAAAATATGTCTTTTCAGATAAATAAAGAATTTTCCAAATCGGTTTACAAATGACAGTCATGAAGTAATAAACATAAAAATTCAATCGACTTCAAAAGTTTTGTCACATTGTAGTCTGTTTTTCTTTGTGGGACACAATAACTAATTATCTAAAATAGGCTGAAAACAGACTTTTATAGATTGTTTATTCAAAAACATTGAATATTGTTAATAAATATAGTAATCACAACATTTGAATTCATTATTAAATTATTAATAAATGAAAAAGAATAATTATAAACTTTGTAACCAGTTTTATAACAATAAATAAAATAAAACTTGTCTTTGTAAAGAAGTGATATATATCAAAAGATATATTTTTGTAATGTCATTCATTTCACGTGTGGTCCCGGCATAGAATAGGTCACTCCGTGGGTGTCATTAGAGGCGGCTAAGGGAGGGCGAGTGATGGGCAGCAGCGTCCCTTTTAAAACGTCTCTAAAATTTAACCATGGTTGCTAATCGATCTGATAAGCATGGTAATTACTGGAAAAAACCCTCCAAGGGGAAGGCAGTGGCCAATTAATGGCTAATATGATAAATATGAATGTCATCCATGGTGATTCATAGTCACGTGGTTTTTTTGTCCTCCTGGTGAGAAGGGCTAGTGGCTTTGGGGCAAGTCCCTTTAACATTTTCATAATATTCATATGAGAAAGAAAAACCAACAGATGTCGCTGTCTCGTAATTCATGTACGCGGATAAAATATCTATTAAGCGGTTCGTCACTTGCCAATCGCTGAAAACGCGACAGCGGCCTCTACGACTGGAACCAATATCAAGTTTTAACAATCCAGCTAATGATTAATCAGACTGTCTGAACTGTAAATAGCGTCAATAAATACAGCTAACTTTTGAAAGCATTCTCATGTACAGACTATTGAACAAATTGTGAGGGCCTGACTGATGTGGGCACGGGGAGGTAATGATTTGTCTTTAGAATGGAATTTATTTGCCTCCGCTGTGTGTGAGCCGCTTTTGTTTTTTTTTTATTGTGTGTAATGCATAAAGGAATCTAAGGATTATCTCAACGAGCCATTAATGTCCCAGTTTTCCGCTGTTCTTGTACGGATATTCTTCCGGTTATTTTTTTTTTTATACAACTTAGAATGGCAAACAAGTTGACGGCCCTCCTGATGGAAAGTGGTAACTGTCGCCTATAGACATGGATAGTACCATGGACTTAATAGAGTATGCTGTTTGGCCCATGATTCACCTCATACGTTGCTATTCCTGGGGACTCAGGTGTTATTCTACCCTTCAAACCGAAACACAGCCATGCAAACACAACTGCTTCACTGTAGAAACACGAATGGGACAGACGTGTCCAAGCAAATGACTTTTGTACAAAGTCTTCCTTAGTGCAGTAGATAGATAGATAGATAGATACTCTTTATTGTTTCTTCCAAAAGATTACAATAGTAAACTTATTATAAATATAAACAATTACGTTAATTAATTAAATAGTTTAGTTTTTAAATCAAAATAACTGTTTTTTTTTTCAAACTTGAAGTCTGTTTATTTCATGTAACATAATCTTAATTATTTATTTGTTTATTTACACTTAACTAAACCACTTATAAAAATATAAAATATAGTAAATTCTAATGAGAAGTGATACAAAATTATATTTTTAATAGTTCAAAATGCTTAATCTGTTCGCAAACATACGTTGTATGAAACGTGTTGTGTGTTTCTTTTAATCTTCGCCTCTTTGAAGTAGAAGATTAAATAAACACTTTTTAAACACTTTGTTCACTTTGACATAGCGTTTTGACGGTTTCCCAAGATTTTGTTAGCGCATTGTAACTTCAATTTAACGTCAGAATTACTATGTCATCTGTTAATCCTTACATCTATTAGAAATTTGAGAGTATTTGAATATGTATGAATGAATGTTTTGTTACTCTTTCATGCAAAAACTGCTGAACAGATTTGAATGAAATTCGGTACATAGATGGGTTATATCTTAAAGTATTGGATACTTTATATATTGTTATCGTGTGGTTCCTTCATAGAATAGGCCACCCCTTCCTTTACCATGAGTGTCGTAAGAGGTAGCTAAGTGAACTTAATGACCGAGGAGTGGACAGCAGCATCCTTCTTAAAACATTAAATGCGGTTGCCAAGCTGCCTACGAAGTATGGCAACTACTGGCAAAATCCTTCAAGGGAAAGGC